GGAAACAGGAAAGTAAGTACATCAGATGGCAAAAAGATAACTAAAATAGAAAGGTACCAGCTTCCATATGCTGAGGCGTGGGGGCGGGGACCACGGGGGTAGATGAAAATGTGAGGGTTCATTCATACCAGAGACGCTGAGAAAGCACAGCTGTCTCCTTTGCAGCCACCCTTACCCAGGAGTCCGTAGTGTTTGTGCAGACAGGTCAGGCTGGTAGTATGCTGTAGACCACCTGGTCTGAACTAGGATGAATGGCGTCGGTGGCACCAGACTCCTAGCACGATATGACCACGGAGTTCAGGACAGGAACCGGGAGCATGGACACAACTCTCACATAGCACCTTTGCCTCCCCAGTCAAATAGCCTGACCCAAGTATGGCCTCTTTATAGCAGTGACACTAGAACGAGGGTCAGTTACTCAACTGGCCCATCAGGGCCTAACCTGATGACTAGCCACCAACCACACCAGCAATAATTACAGCAAACTGATATGCCAGTAACATGTTCCTTTGCTGCCGTAAGCTCCGTTTTTTTGTATCATCTTTATCACTCTTCACCGCAGTGATTGCTACTGAGTTAAACTGGTTTACTCCTGGAAGAGAATAGAATGTGGAGATACTAAGATACTTTTGCTTTTCTAGTTGTCTTCCTCCCATATCTAATCCCACCAGGTTCCTCTCTGCCCTCTCCTCCCCCAGAGGCTTTGCCTTTGTCAGCTGCTCACTGGTTCCCCTTCAGTCACAGAGCAGCAATGAAAGCCACCCAGGCCCTCTTAAGTGTAGCCAAACTACTAGCCCATGTGAACCTCACCGGCCAGGACAAGTGGGTAGGAGGGAAGGCTTCCTCAGCAGTACCCACTTGGGGAAAAACTGGACGAAACCAGCAGGAGAGTCCCATCTCCTAATTTCCTCCAATCAGAGCAGGGATGAATTCTTCACTCGGCTACATATTTTTACATAGCCTTGAAGCAAAGGTCTTAGAGGTTTGATAAACACATAGTCTTCTACTCTGGCCTGATTTTATGCTATTGATTTTACGATCTCAAAAAACATTGTACCTACTGCTCAAGCTTTGACCTTTGTGACGCATGCAGCAAGCTCGTCAATAACTACACATAGTCCAACCCATTAGATAGAACATCCAATGCTTTCCATGACTTGACCCTCTTCAATTCATATCCTCCCACCCCTTTGAACCCTCACGCCAGTAGCACTGAACTTTGTGACTTTGTTCCAAGTTGAGACCCCTTGTCTGGAATGTGCTCCTATTCCTTTGCTAGGCTAGCTTCTGTTCATCTTTCTGGAGCCCCCTCAGGGACACCTGGGGTGTTTTCTGATTTCCCTGATTTCCAGCTCTGGTTTGTACCAGATCTCTTGTCTCTGAGTTCCCATAATACCTTGTGTAAATCTTTTATCATTGCACTTACTCTGTATTATATGCTTACCTATTTGTCTACACTGTTAGATTATGAATTCTTAGAACAAAGAATGTGTTTTAAGTATCTGTGTTCCCAGCACCTAGCTTAGTGACTAGTACAAACTAGGCATTGAATAAATGAATGAATGAACAGGAGATTGAATGATTTGTTCATGGTCATCTAGCCGGTAACTGTCAGTACTGAAATTGGAATACAAATCTTTTGACTTCATTTCCTGTTCTTTCAATGACACCACACTGCTGCTTGTGAGGAACAATGCACATTATTAATAAGGACAAACAAAATTCACTTTTAAGGGGCACCTGGGTGGCTCAGTCGTTAAGCGTCTGCCTTCAGCTCAGGTCATGATCCCAGGGTCCTGGGATCGAGCCCCTCATCGGGCTCCCTGCTCAGCGGGAAGCCTGCTTCTCCCTCTCCCACTCCCCCTGCTTGTGCTCTCTCTCTCTCGCTCGCTGTGTCTCTCTCTGTCAAATAAATAAATAAAATCTTAAAAAAAAGAAAACACAAAATTCACTTTTAAAAACAAAAACAGATGCCATACATACCTATCACAGAAGTTTTCGACACATTTTCTGGAATTGTTTGATTGAAACTAGACGGAATTAATAAGATAGTTTTTATAGGAAAAGTAAAACCAAATAAAAAGTTAGACTGGTTCAGAGGAACAAATGTATCGTGAATGAGAGAATCACCTTTGTGAAGGCTCCGGGGACCAGTGAGGTAACAGGAGATGCTATGGGAGGTGGCCTGTATGTGAGCCAGAGTGTAAAGAGAGGGGACCTTTCTATTATTGAGAACTACATGGAATAAGGGTTGAATAGCTGCCATGTTATCTTTAGATAACAGCCAGAGAGGAGGAAAAGCTTCTTGAGTTGCATCTTCTGATTTCGTAGCTGGAGACCCAAACCTTCTTGAGATAGGAGGATGGCTCATTTTTAATCAGTGATCTTTGGAGACAGATTTGAGTTGATCAATTGTTTATCTCCTTGTTTTCAGCAGCCTGATTGACCAGCTTCATTTCCTGCAAAGCTCTGATGTTGATTCCAGCACATGGCCGCAGGCAACAGGATGCAAGGCCTGAATGTGTTCACATTTCTCAGTCTGAATGGTGAAAGCCCAGGAAACCAAAAGTGGCTGATGGGTCTGTGGCAGAAAGTTTGTCCCCTTAGTCAAAACTGCTCTCCTTTGACTCCCCTCCTACTCGAGACAGTAGTTCAGGATGACGAATGCAGGCAAGCCCAGCTCCCCTGTGCTGCATTTAGGAGGTAAATGGACATAAGACATGACTCTTAAAAGGTCAGAAAGTTTAATTTGCCTACGATGCCCAGTGCAGGGGCTTACACAGAACTTTCTGACGTCAAAGTCCTTTTTCCATAGTACCGTGAAGCCATGTGACAGGTTTGAGACCTGAGCCCCAGAATGATGGAGTAAATACTCTGATTCCTAATCTGATACGCATCCCATTTTCATAGTCCTTGGAGAGATGACCAGACTCAAGGGCAGCCCTGAGAAAGAACAGCACTTGCACGCTGAAGAGAAAGGACTGTACAGTGCTCCTGTGCTGCAGCTGCTGGGCAATTCTGTTTGAGCTCTGCGTGGATACACGGAGACCCTTTTATGGTCATGATAAAAACAGGGAACTTAAGTCCATTTCCTTTAGAGGGCTTGGTTGTGTAACTTTTTTTTTCTGGGTAAAAGTTACTTAATTCTAAAGTCGGGTTTGATCCTGCCACCCACCCACAGGCACGGCCACTCTCTACCTCCTGTGGAAAGCTGGGAACCTCATCAGCTGCCTGGTTGATGGTCTTTTCTGCACTCAGGATCGGAAGGATGGCCCACAGGGAAATAGAAGGAAGTCATCTGAGCCTTGTGACCCACCCTGCCCTCATTGCCAGGGCTGGGGTTGGGCTTTTTATATAACATGGCAGATAATGCAGTAGCTGGACCAGCACAGAAAGCCCAGGGGGCTGCCCCCAGGCCTTGACATCTCCTTTGCACCCACAAGTCTGGCTTTGAGACCCAGCACTGCCCTTCTTTTATGCTAACTGCTGTAGCCAACAAAAAGGCCTTCTCTCCTCAGCACTGCCGGACCTGAGAAGGGACCTATTCATAACTGGGTTTTGCTGTTCCCTCCCTAGGGGGTGGGGCAGAAGGGCTGAGGAAAGTTCTGCAGACCTGAGAACTGCAAGAAAGTATGGGGCTGCCGCCCTCCTACCCTGTTTGAACACAGAGGGTGCTGAGGATTCAAAGGTTAAGCTCATGAGCCCTTGCAAAGGGGAAGGATCCTTTCTGGGTTTATTTAGATAGATTTCTCAAGAACTAAGATATTGCTAGGAGAAAGGGAGCAAACAAATATCAGCAGTCCCAGTCCCGGTTGTCTGGCCTCAAAGCAGTGGTTCTCAAAATGTATTGTGCATATCAAGCTTCTGGAGTGCTTGTAAAACCCAGATTCCTGGGCTGCACCTCCAAAGACTGCAATTCAACAACTGTAAGTTGTGTCTGGATATGCATTTTTAACAGGCTGGGAAGGGGTGGGGGCACGTTTTGCCCCAAAGCCTGAGAGGCAGAGTTGGAATGCCCCCATTCTGGGCTATTCAATACAGTCCCCGGACCAACCAGCCCAGAGCTGAGACTGGTGCTTCTCATAGCACCCAGGAAAGTTCCAGAAACCAGTTACATTACATCAAGCTAAGTGGGGAGCTCAAACTCAGAGTGGGAGTATTTTCTTAGAGTTCCAGATTTACTGGCAAGATGAGGAGTTCACCATGAGAGAGAAAGTGGAGTTCACTTGGAATGTGGAAATCCTACATCGACTACCCAAACTGGGCTGCTGACTGCATGGGCTTACAATGAAAAATCTTCCTATTATCCTGAGGGTCCTCCAATTCAGGTTTGTCTAGACGTGCTGGAGTCTAGTAAACTACTCACTCTACCTGTCTGTACAATGAGGGGTTGGTCGAGGAGTCTGCTAAGGTTCCCTTTGGTCTGACTCTAGGGTTCTCCAGAACCTGCAGCCTGCTTCTGATCTTCATCCTCAAGTACGACTGCTTGGGCAGGAGGCCAGGTCTAATTCTTGCAACACACCATTTGCCTAGTATAAATAGAACAGGAGTTGCACATAGTAGGTGCCCATTAAATATTTATTGCAGAAATGAATAAATATAAGTGGCCATGAGATAAAATAGTCCTCGTTGGAACAAAGCCCAGAGAAGAAGGCAGGGGCAGGAGCTGTGGCTGCAGGAATCTTGGGAGCAAGAGAATTCTCACAAGCCTCTGGCCCAGGTGGCTCCATCGGGTGTCTGCCAATTTCAGAGGTGGCCCTGTTATTCCTTTTCCTTTAAACATATCTAATTCGTCTTAAAAATCCATATGTATCGTAGGAAAGTTACACATTTTTATTTTTTTTAAAGATTTTATTTGAGAGAGAGAGAATGAGAGAGAGAGCACGAGAGGGAAGAGGGTCAGAGGGAGAAGCCGACTCCCCGCTGAGCAGGGAGCTCGATGTGGGACTCGATCCCAGGTCTCCAGGATCATGACCTGAGCTGAAGGCAGTCGTTTAACCAACTGAGCCACCCAGGCGCCCAATTTACACATTTTTAAAAGGTATATAAAAATGTTTTAAAACCATCCACAGTCCAGTGATTTTTCTTCCCTTTTTGGTACTTTTCCTTGCTTTTGGAATTAGAGGAAAATGATACATGCCACTTTTAAAATCATCTGTAATTCAAAGATTTCTCAACGTTTTCTATGCATGCCTACACATTTGGAAACCCTACTGTTGATATAGTGTAATATTGTGACTCCTCTGCTGATACCTTCCTTAAAGTCTTAAGCATCATTTTCAATGGCTTCAGGATAATAGCACCTTTAACCACTCCCTCATTATGGACATTTAGGCTGTTTCCTTTATGCTTTATATTACAAATATCGCAATAATAAGCATTACTGCCTACACATTTTTAATCTGTATTTATTTCCTTAGGAAAGAGTCCCAAAAGTGAAATTACTCTGTCAAAGAGTATAAAGCTCTTTAAACTTCTTGAAACACGGGCCAAAATGTTTTGTAGAAAAGTTTTCATCGATTTATACTGAAAGTTACTATCTCAATGAACTTTTTAGCTGCCTCTGCAGAGAAGAGGAGAAAGCCCTGCAAGCTCCCAGGCCTCCCTGAAGCCTCGCGGCCGCTGCAGTACAAAGTGAGAGGACGCAGAGGTTCCTTCTGTAGTTTTGCCTCAGCCATCCCTCCGCAGGGAAGGCGCCCGTCCTGTTTCCTAATTGAGTTCTTCCTTTCTTAATGGCCCAAGGATGGAGGATGTTGGTGGTAAAGGCAGTGAGGGTGGAGGTGGATCCTTACGTTTGAGCAAAGAAGACTTTGTCAACAAGAATCCCACACTCGGAGATCCTTCACGGAGACATCCATCTATTCCAACCAAAGTGAGCTTCCAGAGACGGGTAGGATGACGAAAGAGGACATGGTAGCAGGATAGGAGTTAGAGGCGGCTTCCAGCTGGAGGGCTGCGGCCCCTTTAAGGCCCAATCCGGGGCTTGGCCCTTTAAAATCTGTGTCAGTTTCCCCTGACGTCAGCGGGCGGGCCGGCCGCCCTGCTGTTTACCGCCTCGCGGCCCCGCACAGTCCCGGGAGTTGGGAGACCCGGGGCCGCCGCGGCCGCCCGCCCTTAAAGGGCCCGCGCCCCCAGGAAACAAGCCGCGCCGCGCGGCGTCGGGTCGCTGCCACCTATCACGCTCCTCACCCTCAGACCCTCCTCCCTTCCCGGCCGCCCCCGCTGCCGGCTTCCGTCCCTCCCTCCCCTTTCCCCGGCGTCTCCAAGCTCCCAGCAACCAGCCGCCCCCTGGCTCTTACGGCCCCGGCCGGCGGCCGCGGGGTCTCCCGGCCGCGCTCTGCCCCTCGCGAGCTGGCCCGTACCCCACATCCTTCCCTCCCTCTCCCGCCGCCCCTCCCCGCCAGGCCCCCTAGGAGCGTCTCTGCGGCTCCCGGGAGGGGACGTTTCCTGATCTCAGGCCGGGGTTAAAGTTCTGGTCCTGGTGAGATGCTGGAAGCTGCGGCCAGAGCCGCAACCCGTCCCGGAGGTGTCCTGTGGCCTGTCACCGTCCCCGCCACCACCGCTGCCGCCGCCACTGCCGCCTTGCCGGGGCCATGTTCGCTCTGGGCTTGCCCTTCTTGGCGCTCTTGGTGGCCTCGGGCGAGAGCCATCTGGGGGTTCTGGGGCCCAAGAACGTCTCGCAGAAAGACGCCGAGTTTGAGCGCACCTACATGGATGAGGTCAACAGCGAGCTGGTCAACATCTACACCTTCAACCACACTGTGACCCGAAACCGGGTGAGGGCTGGGCTGCGCTGGGCTGGGGGTTGGTGGTGAGTGGGTGAGCAGACCAGGGCTCCGCGAGTCAGTCAATCCTCTGCTCTTTTAGGAGGCCCGTGAACGCGACACCCCACCGGGTTTCCTTTTCCCAGAACCACACTGGACTCTCTTGACCAGTCCTCCTTGCTTTGCCACCAGCGTTTCTCTGAAGCTCCCACTGGACAGTTTCTAAAGTTATCTCCTTCCCATCTTCTCTTTGACCCCCTCCTTTCCACCAGCTGTGGTCTGAGCAGGGCTGGTCCAACACCCCAAATTTGACAGCCCCACCCATCCGGGTGCAGGGGGAAGCGGGGTAGCCACTGGGGTTGGCCCAGAAAACCCCAAGGAGATGAGACAGGCTGACTGAAAGGCTCTGCCCAGCCAAGTTATAGCTGAGCCTCCCCAGGGAGATGAATGCAGGCCTTCCCAGCTCTCTTTCTGCCTTAGAAAGCCAGCTGGCCTTGTAAGAGGAAGGTGGTGGAGATAAGACCAGCTCCCAAATGGGTTGGGAGGAGAGAGGAAGTTTGTGTCCAATGGGGAATCTACCTCACCCTGACTTTCTCTTTCATTTTTTCCCCGGCCACGAGTTAAATGTGATTGTAGCTAGATCTAGGAAGTCTAGACCCTGGGCAGAGCTGAGATTTGGAGAATTCTTGCAGCCTGACTCTGTGGTCTCTTGCCTAACACTCTCCATGATGGGATTTACTAAGAAGTGGTAGAGCTGATAGTGGCAGTCTGATTATTTTTCAGGATGGGGCGGGATCTGCCTTCTGTGGCAGGCCAGGATCTGCCTTCAGTGCCTGTTTCTCTGAAGTTTGATGTCCTCCTGCTTGGAGTCCTTTCTTCCTTCTCCCCCATAACTGGGGTCATCCTGGGAATTATGGTCTTCTACCCCTCGGGGAAACGTTGCCCTAGGGCTTGGGTCTCAGCAACCCAATAACAAGCATTATCAGGACTGATTGATTGATTGATTTTCTTAAGCTCCCACTGTTCTGTGTCTGTTCCTCCATGTGCCAAGAGTGAGAGTGTCTGCATTTTACAGAGGAGGATATCAAGGCTCAGAAGTGTGAAGGGACTTCTCCACAGCTCTAGCCCTTGGTCAAGAGCTAAGGATAGAACTTGGCTTTCTTAGCTTTCCACAGTCTCTTTGCCCACCTCCCCACTGGCTCTGGCCCCCAGATTAATTGTTGAATGGGGGCTTCCTGGCTCACAAGGAAGAAAATTGAGGAACACTTTTGCTCTCCTGTGTCCCCCTGTCCCTGTGCGTGGATATCCCAAGAACATGGATAAGTATGGGGTATCCTGCGGATGTCCAAGGTCTCCATTGTGTTTCCTGTTGGGAAGTGAGGCCCTGTAGTTGCATGGGTCCCATTGTCCTGCACATACCTGCCAGCCAGGACGGGGCCTCTTCTAAGAGCTTCTCCTCTAACTCAGGGCAAATCCCTCCTGGAGACTGGGGCTCCTCTGGCGGAAGAAGGGGCATAGCTTGCTGCCCAGCCTGACTGGAGGGAGGGGGTTGAGGGGGGAACAAAGCTGTCAGCATGACGGAGGGCAGGGCTCAGTCTCTGGAGCCATGTGTCCCCAGGAGCCGAGGTCGAGTCACTACAGGCTTGACTGAGGGGTGTTTCCATGTCATTCTGCAGACAGAAGGTGTGCGTGTGTCTGTGAATGTCCTGAACAAGCAGAAGGGGGCTCCTTTGCTGTTTGTGGTCCGCCAGAAGGAGGCTGTGGTGTCCTTCCAGGTGCCCCTAATCCTGCGAGGGCTGTGAGTAGGACCTGGGGGTCAGGGAGGGGGGTAGGCCTCGGCCAGGCCAGGCCCAGAGCCTCACCCAGGGCCTTATCCAGGGCCTCAGGCCACCCAGGAGCCCCTCTGTTTCTCTTCCCTGTTCCCTGAACCAAGGGGCTGCTCAGTGGCCAAGACTGCCAACTTGGAGCTTGTCAGCCTAGCTGGGTTAGGAGTAGGGAAAGCTGGAAACCAGAGTGGGGGAGTTGGGGCCTTGCTCCTATGGCATGGCTTGCTGGCTGGGACAGTAGTAACGTCCTGGCTTTCTGCTTTGGGCTATAGGTATCAGCGGAAGTACCTCTACCAAAAGGTGGAGCGAACGCTGTGCCAGCCTCCCACCAAGAACGAGTCCGAGGTCCAGTTCTTCTACGTGGATGTGTCCACCCTGTCACTGGTCAACACCACCTACCAGCTCCGGGTCAGCCGGATGGACGACTTTGTGCTCAGGTGTGCAAGGGCAATGCCAGGGGACCATGGGCCTGGCCTCCTTGCCAAGCTCAGGGAGTGACCGTGTTCGGGGGGGGGGGCTCTTCTCCCTCCAGGACTGGGGAGCAGTTTAGCTTCAATACCACAGCAGCCCAGCCCCAGGTAAGATCTGTCTGGCAACAGGCCCTCAGGAGGAGAAGTGGGGACATGGGAGTGGGAGTGGTTGGCAGACCCTGCTGGGAATCCCAGGTTGGCTGTCCCCTCGCCATGGAGGGACTCTGGCCCTGGGGTGGTCAGGGGACAGGCCGCGTGGGACTTGCAGAAGCATGGGGTCTGGCCGCCACCTCTCCTCCTTGCCTCTTGGGACACTATCCTGAGTGCCCACCTGAGGTTGAGGGGAGTGATGTAATAGGGCTGCTTTGGGTCAGGGTCCTTCTCCCCAGAGAGCTTCCACTGCCCAACCCTGAGAGGATATACACTGTTCCCTTCTAGAGGGACAGAGAGAGCATCCTCATGAGATGGGGCTCTCCCTGCCCTCCTGTGCCCTCAGTACTTCAAGTATGAGTTCCCGGAGGGAGTGGACTCGGTGATTGTCAAGGTGACCTCCAACAAGGCCTTCCCTTGCTCAGTCATCTCCATCCAGGATGTCCTGGTAAGTTGCCTGCCCTTTTTTTGCTCTCCACCAGCGGGTAGCAGGGCTGCTAAAGAGGGGGCCCAGGGCCCAGGTTCCTGCCCATTCGCCTCTCCCCTCTTCCCTCTGTAGTGCCCTGTCTATGACCTAGACAACAACGTAGCCTTCATCGGCATGTACCAGACTATGACCAAGAAGGCCGCTATCACTGTGCAGGTAGGAAATGCGCATGGCCCTATGGGAGATGTAGCCAGGTGCTGAGCTTTCCAGACCCTTGCTCCTTCACCCCTACCCCATTTCTACCCTACTGATAAGACTGAGTCTTGGCCTGCCAGTCCCTGAGGTTTGGGGCTCTGCAATTAATGTGAGGGTTGAATCATCATCCCAAAATCCTTGGGGTTAGGAAAGAGCAGAGTGCCTTTTCCGGCCATCACATCTGTTTCGGTCGCTGTAATGATATAGCTAACGGCGGGGGGGGCGCCTGGGGGGCTCAGTCCATTAAGCATCTGCCTTCAGCTCAGGTCATGATCCTGGGGTCCTGGGATCGAGCCCCACATCAGGCTCTCTGCTCAGCGGGGAGCCTGCTTCTCCCTCTGCTTGCCATTCCCCCTGCTTGAACTCTCTCTCTGTGTCGAATAAATAAGTAAAATTAAAAAAAAAAAAAAAAAAAAGAGAGAGAAAAGGGCCCTGGCTGATGCTGAGTGTTGCCCTTGGCGAAGGCTAAAACCTGTGCTGGGGGCAGGGAGGGTGAAACCATATGTTCACTTCGCAACATGTGAGTTGCAACTTGGGAGGCAGTAGGGGCCCCTCCACTTTTTCTTCTGGCTGATGCCCAGACCGTAATGGGGCACCCATGGATTCCACGATGGTAGGTCATACACACATTTGCTCACCTGGCTAGAGGTTAGGGTCATGATTTGGGCTCTAGAGCCAGTTAACTCTACCACTTACTGGCAGTGTAACCCTAAGGCCTAATAGGCGTAATGATAGTACTTATTTTGTAGGAATCTTAGTGAGGGCTGAGTAAAATTATGTGTGTATTTTGTTGATTGATTTTGATGATGATTGATGGTGATGATGGTTTTATCATCATCATCATCATCATCATCATCATCATCCTGCAGCGCAAAGACTTCCCCAGCAATAGCTTTTACGTGGTGGTGGTGGTGAAGACCGAAGACCAGGCCTGTGGGGGCTCCTTGCCTTTCTACCCCTTTGTAGAAGGTACACGGTGTGCCCTGGCCTGGCCCGGGTGGGGTGGGCTCGGTTGCTCCCTGGGAAGTAGAAGAATCTGTGTGGCTGATGCGGGGGTCTGCCGGATTTGGGGTTTTGGCCCTGGACTCTCCCAGGCCTGGTCCT